TTTAAGGGCTAAATGCACCTTTTACTGAAATGTATCTATAAAAACAGCAACTTGAAATTTGTTTATGTCTTCCTGACTTGGAAGTGAATTAAACACATAAAACACTCACAGTAACCATAAACCTGCTGTAAGTGATTATTTGAGTTGAGGGAAGTTTGGTCCAACTGACATCACATCTTAAACTTATAGGAGTTGCTTTTTGAACATTAGTCTTTTCTGTATCTGTCAGGGACTTCATGATGTAGTTTTTAATGGAAAAAAGCAGCAAGTGAAGCTTGAACTGTCTTAAACCCTGGAATAAAGACATCACGTACTCTGTATGTAATAACGTCAGCACGTACACTGTACGTAATAACGTCATCACGTACTCTGTACGTAATAACGTCATCACGTACACTGTACGTAATAACGTCATCACGTACACTGTACGTAATAACGTCATCACGTACTCTGAACGTAATAACGTCATCACGTACTCTGTACGTAATAACGTCATCACGTACTCTGTATGTAATAACATCATCACGTACTCTGTACGTAATAACGTCATCACGTACACTGTACGTAATAACGTCATCACGTACTCTGTACATAATAACGTCATCACGCACACTGTACGTAATAACGTCATCACGCACAGTGTGTGTAATAATGTAATCACGTACAGTGTGTGTAATAACGTCATCACGTACACTGTACGTAATAACGTCATCACGCATAGTGTGTGTGTAATAACGTCATCACGTACACTGCGTTATAACGTAATCACGTACACTGTACGTAATAACGTCATCACGTACACTGTGCGTTATAACGTCATCACGCACAGTGTGCGTAATAACGTCATCACGTACACTGTACATAATGGCGTCATCACGTACTCTGTGCATAATAACGTCATCACGCACAGTGTGCGTAATAACGTCATCACGTACACTGTACATAATGGTGTCATCACGTACACTGTACATAATGGCGTCATCACGTACACTGTACGTAATAACGTTGTCACGTACACTGTACGTAATGGCGTCATCACGTACACTGTGCGTAATAACGTTGTCACATACACTGTACGTAATGGCGTCGTCATGTACACTGTGCGTAATAACGTTGTCATGTACACTGTGCGTAATAACGTTGTCACGTACACTGTACGTAATAACGTCATCACGTACAGTGTACGTAATGGCATCATCACGTACATTGTGCGTTATAACGTCATCACGCACAGTGTGCGTTATATATTACATACAGTGTTTACAGTGCTTTAGTGGTCTTACTAATTTTTATAATTCATAAGCAAATTTGCGCTTTCTAAAATTAAAATACAGTACTGCTAATAACTAATTATCTAC